CTGTGTGTCCCCTCAGCAAGCATCCTTGTCTCTACATCCTTTTGTAGGTTTCCAGTCAATTTCCTTAACAGATCTGCTTAGAGTCCTAGCCTGTAACTCTGAGGGTTTGATACACAATGCTGATTGGTATTTCAGGAACATTGTAGCAATTCACCTTTCCTCACAGCTGTGTGAATGTTTACAGAACCATTGCCTTTGAGTAGCTTCTGACTCAGCCACTCCCTGGCTTGCAGCTAGAATTACTCCACAAGGTTTTCTTGGATGTCAGTGTTTTTAGGTTGGAGAAATCAATGGATTCAAATCCAGGTCTCAGTCATGCCGATTCCTTCCTGTCAGGAACCCCAAGTATTTAGTCTCTTTAGATTCTAGACTCTGTCCCAGGCATCTGTCTTCTCCCAAGTGTGTCTGTGTGTGTATTCTGATCTTTTTAGAACTCAGAAGTTCTAAAAACTATAGAAAACATCCTATCCTAATGTGTTATTGTTAACAAAACTAACTTCTATTTTCAAGCAGGATCCTGTCAGTAGGTAGAGCCTACGTACCTGCGGCACTGGTACGGCTGTGCCATCCTGGCTCTGACTCTGGTCCTGTCATCTTCGTAGCACCTATTTCCTCATTCTCCTTAAAGTGGCTGGTGTATTCGAACCACCGGCTTTTCAGTTAGCAGCCTGAAGTTTGATATGTTTTGGGAGGATACAGTTCATTCTGTGAGAGCAGCCTAGCTGTGAATGTTAATCCGTGCGCTGCATCAGTGACTGAGCGAGTTCAGACCACCAACCTTTCCGTTAATAGCCGTTTGTGCGCAAACTGGTTTACACCACCCAGCATCCTTATAAAGCCTGATTTCCCCACATCCTTAAAGGCGCTGGTCTTCCAGCCACAGTGAAAAATTACTATGAGAGTGGTGTTCCTCAACGCCGAGTCTAGAGACAGGCAGGCAGGCAATCCCAAAAAATTGGGAAAGATAAGTAAATAGTTCTCTGGAAGCCTGCAGAAGAAACATCTGACACTTTGGTTTTAGCCCCTTAAAACTTACCTCAGACTTCTGAATCCAAATGTGTGAGACAATAAATGTGTGTTGTCTTAAAAAAAAAAAGAAAGAAAGAAAAAGAGAGTGGTGTTTAGGGTTAGCCGGGCTGGTGTAGCTCTTCATGACTGTGTCAGGCCAGGGGGACAGTATGCTGCAAGAAGGCAGCCCCAGGTATCTGCAGAAGCCTGGGGTATGTCAGAGCCTGGAAAGCAGGGCCTGACCCCCACCCAGGTATGTGGGGTACACTCAGGCAGAGGTCGAGGCTTCACCTCCCTCGGGACCGTCCTGTGAGGAGGGGACAGCTTCTCCCCGTGGTCCCGGGGCAGCAAGGACAGTGAGTGGACATGTGGGCTTTGTTGGGAAGCCCCAGAAGAGGAAGCTGAGGAGACTTGTGGGTATTTAAGGAGAGTGAGCCTGGGTTCTGAACCCACAGCCCAGAACGTCCTTTGGCCACTGCAGAGCCCCCCTGCAGCTTCCTGATTCCGGCCTTGTCTGGGGTGCAGCCCTGCGGCCCCACGCCCCGTGTCCTGTCCTCCCCCTCATTGCACTCGGCACGGAAGTGAGCCCCAGGCCTGACAGGTAGAGTTTGTTATTCCCCCGACAGAGCACCTCCTGACCTCGATCTTCTTGCCAATGATTTTTTAAATCCTAAATGATTTGGCAATAATTGCTCCTCCGGGCGTGATTATTGCCCTTCACCGACAGTAAATCTGCAGCGTCCCAAGGGACGTGCGTGCATTTCGGTGTGTGGAGGCCACAGGCTGGCCGGACAGGCATCACTGCCCCGGGCAGCTGCTCCGCTGGCCTGGGTCCCCAGCTCCCCACCCCTCCTCATCATCCCACATCCCCCTCATGCATAGCTTCCGGGGTTCCAATAACTGTGTGCCTTGATTGGCTGTTCCTGCAAGGCTTCAGATTCCCGGGAGCCCATCGCCCCACCGGCCAGCCCAGGATGCTCTGGGAGGGGACCAAGCTCCGCTGCTCTGTGTGTGTGTGTGTGATGTTCTTTCCCCAGAATCACGGAAAGTGCTCACCGTGACTTGAAATAATGGCTGTTGCTGTGTGCCTTCAGGGAGCTCGAGCGACCTGGGGTAAGGAGTTGTCCTGCCAACCCAAAGGCAGGCGGTTCAAATCCACCAGCTTCTCCAAGGGAGCAAGGTGGACAGTCTCCTTTTGTGTGGTTTACAGCCTCTGAAAACCCACCAGGGGCGTCTGCTCTGAGGTAGTGCCCCCAGTGGCACTGAGGTGAGGTGGTTTGGTGAATGGATTCACACTCACTGACCTCAGGTTGCCGAGAACTGCCCCAAAGGACTTCACAGGCTCAGGTGACAGGCGCCAGGGCTTTCCAAAGAGTGGCTGGTGGGCTCACCCTTTACAACCACCGAGCTAGCAGGACTCCTTGTGATCGTTGGAAGCCTCCTCATATTTAAAAGGAACCTTCCAGTGAGATAGGCCTTGGAGCCTCTGGCAGCAGGGAAAACTACGGCAAATGCTTTACTCTGGAGTCGGTGACAACGCCTGGTGATGCCTGGTGTCCAGGTGAGAACTGCTCCTGCGGCTTTACTGGCTGCAGTCTTTTTTTTAAAAAAATTATTATTTTGTGTGTGTGTACCGTCAAATCGGATCTGATGGGTACAGGAGGAGATTGCCCTTCCTTCTCCAGCAGAGCATCTGGTGGATTCGAACAATGTACCTCAGGGATTGCAGTGCAGCTTCTTGCTACTAGACCACCGGAGGCCCCCCCCCATCTTTTTCCTTTTCTTTCTTTTTTTAAAAATTGTGATTATAAAGAAAGTTTACAGAAAAGTTGGATTTTTCATTCATTCATTGTTGCACATTTTCTTCCCAGTTTGCTTTTTTTAAAAAAATTCATTCATTGTTACATAATTTCCTCCCTCACCCTGTACCTCTCTCCCAATCCACTTCGCTGTGCATCTCTTATTGTGGACCGTTGTCACACAAATAACGCATAATCATATATATTCTTTTTAAACAGTTCGTTCCTTCATCTGTCCCAATGCAGTGTTCATTATGTATCCCCTCTTAATTTTTTCCCAACCCCATGTCAGTCCCGTTTTATAATAGTGGCATCATGTAGTATTTGTCCTTTTGTGACTGAAATATTTCTCTCAGCAGAATGTCCTCCAGGGTCACCCATGTTGTGTAATATTTTATGAATTCCTTGTTTTTCAGTGCTGTGTAGTATTCCATTGTGTGAATGTACCTTAGTTTTTCTGTTCATTCTTTTGTTGATGGGAGTGGTTGTAATCTTGATGTAACTGTTTCTCAGACCTTTCTTCCACGGTACCACAGAATGGGCTTGAACCTGCAATCTCTATTTTAGCAATTGGGCTTAACATTTGAGTACTAAGTAAGAAATGTGGAAACTGATTAGAGATGGACTCATGACCAGGCAGCCTTTTGGGAAGGGCTAGGACCGTCAAAGATCTGGGGCTTGTGACCGGCACTCCCCACGGAGGTCAAGCGGCATAGCTGCCTTCCAGTCTGCATCCCTCGGTGAGCCCAGGACTCACCCAGGTGACACTGGCCTGGCCTGGCCCTGCTGCCCTGTCCCCTCCACGTGCTGCCAGCTCTCGGGCTGTTGTCGTTTTGAGGACCATGTTGCCTCTTGCTCTTCTTCAGTGATCTGATAATTTCTAGGGGCAAAGATGGAAAAAATTCCATGGGATTTGGCAGGTTCCCTCAACATCACTCATTCTGGAAAAAAGTTATAATCAGTTTCTATTTCACTGTATCTATTTTTGTCCCTTTAGCACTATTTATCATTTGTATAATGTTTCTTTGAATGGACAGATTTTTAAAAATAATGTGTATATTTTTAAATTTGAATTTTGCTAAAAAGTTTTCTTTCTAAAGGAGTTGTCAATGAGAGGGAGAATAAGTGTGTTTTAAAAGGAAGTTTTGGGGAGCTCTGGTGGCCTAGTGGCAAGAAGCTACACTGCAATCTCAGAGGTTTGTGGTTCAAATCCACCAAATGCTCTGCTGGAGAAGGCGAGACAATCTCCTGTACAGTCAGATCTGATTTGACAGTACACACACACACAATTTAAAAAAAAAACTAAAAGGAGGTTTTGATCAGGCTTATCAATGAAAAGCCAGAATAATTTATCAGCCATAAGTGGCTTTCTTTACAAAGAAACACCAGGATATTACATTAAAAAAACTCTTATGTCTTGTTCTACCAAAAATCAAATTCTGTGTCACTAGGGTGCAGCCATAGTGGCTTGGTGTATAACACATTGGATTGTTAACCAAAAGGTGGGCATTTCCAATCTCCTGGTTGCCCTCTGGGAGAACAGCCTTTTGCCTTAAAAACAGTCTTTTGCCTTGGAGATGGGAGGAGGCTCTCTGTGGGCCAGACATTGCTGACAGCAGTGAGTCGTTTCTGGGGAAGGTGCTCTGGGAAACATGGGAACAGATGAAGGAATCAAAGCTAACCTTGATGGAGAAAGTGGTTAAATATGAGATAGGTGCTGAGAAACAAATGCATGTCTATCTCACGTCCTTCTCATGTGCCATCACAGTTGAAAGCAAACCCTTTCAGACTGCAAGCTGCCGAGTAACTTGGCTCTCTCCAGGCCAATGGCTGGGCCAGTCACCTGGCTATTCCAGCCTAGTTAACATCAGACCCACTGTGATGTTCAGGACGCAATGGGACAGTCTCCAAACCCATATCCGTGTGTCCTGGTGGCGCCAAGGCCTTGTGACGTCTGCTGATTCATTCAAAACTCCACTCATCCCCCCTGTTCACAGCTGCAGCCCAAGGGGGACCGCAGGAGAGATATTCAAGGCTGACTCTTAATCAATACGCTGACAATATTATCTTGTTGAACTTGTGCAGCAGTGGTTCTAAACACCCCACTGAATGGTTTACTGTGTCAGAAAAGATGAGGCTCCCAGGAGTCAGATCCCTGGCTCCCCCTCTTACTGTCTCTCACTGTCCTGACAGGCCATCATGATCGGAGACGACATCGTGGGCGACGTCGGCGGGGCCCAGCAGTGCGGGATGCGGGCGCTGCAGGTGCGGACCGGCAAGTTCAGGTCAGTGCCTCGTGGTTGGGGTGCGCGTTCACGTCTGACCTCTCCCACGTCGGGCAGCCGGGCTTTTGGATGGTTTTTCAAAGGCAAGGCAGTTATTTATCTAAACTCCGGAACAGTATACAGGTATTGCCATCTTTCACTGTCTTTTAATGACAAATCTGGCCGACGACTTGTAACAGAGAGAGAAGAAAAAGCAACTTTAAAAAGTCTTTCTGGCCTCCTTTCCTGTGCTTTTGGCCCACTGTGTCTCTTCTTTGGGGAAGTGTCTGTTCCAGCCCTCTGCCCAGAGCTGAGTGGGGTTGATGCCTTCATGGTTGAGTTTTAAGAGAATTTCCTGTGTTGTAAGAAGATTTTGTATGTTCTGATACCCTTAAGAGGTATATGATTTGCAAATATTTTTTTCTGTTCTGGGTGGCTAATCACTTTCTTGAGAAAGTCCCATGTTGCACAAAAGGTTTTACTGGTGCAAAGTCCAGTCCTTGTTTTCTTTTCTTCGTGGCTTGTGCTTTAGAGGTTGGGGCTAAGAAAACACTGGCAGGGCCAAGGTTCTGCAGCCTCAGCACATGACTCACCCTCGGTTTCTCCTGAGAGTCTCGTAGTTTTCGTTCTGCTGTAAAAGCTGCAGATGCTGGGGCCTCTTAGGAAAGGAAAACTCAAGAATTTTCCACTGGGAGAGTTGCTGTTGTTATGCGTTATCAGGTTGAACCGACTCATAGCTGACCCTCCAGCAGGTTTTCAGAGGCTGTGACTCACCCAAGAGGAGATTTCCCAGCTTCCTCCCTTGGGACAACTGGGGGACTCGAACCTCCTGCCTTTGGATTGCCAGCACAACTCCTTACCTCTAGACCACCAGGGCTGCACTAGGAGATGGTAATAAAAAATGAAGGCTGCACACTGTCAGAGGCAGAAAGCTGTGGAGACGCAGTAAAACAAGGCAGCCCCTTTGAGTTCTAGCTCACACAGGTTGACATTGTTGACTTGATTTGAGGGTAAAGCAGCTTTTGGTACAAAACTGGCACTTGGAGCTCTGGTGGCCTAGTGGCAGGAAGCTGCTCTGCAATCCCTGAGGTGTGTGGTTCAAATCTACCAGATGCTGTGCTGTAGAAGAAGGGGCAGTCTCCTCCTGTACCTGTCAGATCTGATTTGATGGTACACAGACAAAAAAATGATAAAATAAAAATCAAACAAAAACCTGGTGCTTGAATGTGTACACGGTACAGAAGAAGTCTGTGCTGAGGGAAGGTTATAAGTTTGAATGTACCCAGAGGCAGTCTTCTTCCACAAGGTCACGGCCATGTCAACCTTGGAGTCTAGTGCTGCTCTCCCATTCTGGGAGGACCTGGCATTCCGCGTGGACTGCGTGGTCACTGGTGTTGCCTGAGGAGAAGGCAGGGCTCGTTCTGGGAGCTGCCTGGGCTGATGGAGCTGCAGCCGCAGGCCCTTTGCTCCGTGACAGAGGTCACTGTGTGGGGCCCTTGGCCCCTGCTCACTCGCCTCTGCTTGTCTGTTGCCGTTCCAGTTCTCTGAGGAGTCTCTGTGATAGAGGGGCCCCAAGACCACAGGTCTCGATCAGGGTACTTTGGAGCGGAGTGTTGATAGTGCTGCATCTTCTAGGGTAGAGGTCAGCCTGGTCTGGAGCAGGTCACTGATGGGCACTTTGTGGGGGAGTACAGTTGCCTGTGGTGACAACTCATCTCATTTGGATGTGGATTGTGTCTGAGAACTTGGAGGGCTGTCCTGCTTTGTCCTGGATCGCTCCAGGATCGTACAAAGGGGATGCTGGGGCACTTGGCAAACATAGTAGCCAGTGATACTGTCCTGGAGGGGGTCAGCTGCATCTGTCCTGGACAAGCTAATAAGATTATGGGCCTAAAGTATTTGAAGTCTGATTGTGGTGTAGAGGACCCTGGGAACCTGTGTGTATGGGCTGCCAGGTGGACACAGGTGAGTGAGGACCAGCAAGCCTGGTGCCTGTCCCCTCCCCTGGACCCTTGGAGAGCAGGACCCCAGACCCACGTGGAACACAGACCTCCCTTCTCAGGACTTCCTGGCTCCCTTTATTACCTCTGACCCTGGAAGAGCAGGGCTGAAGCTGAGCAGTACGAGGAGTGGACACTGTGTCTGCTGACAGCTCTTCGCTTCTGGGGGAAGAAAGTGTTGTTTGTCTGCCCAGTAAGATGTGCCTGAGTCAGGGCCTTCCCGGGACTCCCTCCACATGCACCGAGACGGCACTAGCCTTGCCCTGGCTCCACACAGGGTCTTCAGAGAGGGTCTGTGCGTGGCCGGGAGCCCACTGTGAGCGATTGGCATGTGCTGCCCGGTTAGCACCTTCAGAGCCCCGTTACCCCTGAGTTATTCCAGGAAAACCATGGGTGGGCACCTGCAGGACTCGTCCTGGGAGGTGGACGTCGCGGTGCCCGATGCTCGCCCACCGCCTCCGTGTAGAGAAGCTGTGGGTGGATGTATTGTTTCTCTTGTTACAAAAATGGAGTTCTGTTCTGTTCTGACTCGCTTCTTTGTCGTGGTCACTGCTTTACAGCATCTTTCCACGACCACACTTAGGGGTCTCAGTCCACGCTAACACCTGGCGAGCTGCTGTGTAGAAAGCCGGGCTTCCAGCACCCAGCAGGCAGGGTCTCACTAACATGTACAGGCGTTATGTGCTGAAGTCTTGATATTTTACACCCAACAAATGCACTAGTCATATTAACGGCCTCTTATCGTGACCGCGATGACCGTGGCTCCGGGACACGGGGTAGCGCCTGTCAGCTCTCTGGGGCTGGCCCTTGCCTGCACTGCCCGTTCCCTCCTCCAGATGGCACTCTCGGTGCATGGACTGCCCTTTGTTATGCACATAGCTGCTGGGTTACTGTGTCCTGGGAGGTCAAGCTGGGTTCTTGCAGTGTGGAGGGACCCCAGGACATCCTGAGTGGTGTTCCTGGAAGGTGGGGGCCAGCCTAGGCCAGCAATGGCCTCAGTATCAGCCTGGTCCTCCCAGAGGTCTCTTCTTCCAGTGGTCATCCCACCCAAAGCTCTCAACCCTCCGTGGCCTCTGTGAGCGAGTGAGTGGACCTCACAGCTGTGAAGGTCAGTATGGCGTGTCTGTGGCAGCCGTGTGCCCGTCGGGCAGTGTCAAGGCCTGTCTTCCCAGAGCTGCTCACCACCCTTGAGGCTGTGTGACCCTGAGGACCATTGTCATACAGAACCTCCCAGCCCCACCAGGTCTCCTTCTCCTCCATCAGCCCCCAGGCAGCTGGATGTGAGGGGCCCAGGTATATCCCTGCTGGACTGGTTCCTGCCACTTCTGGGGACCTGCCCCTGGTCATCCCAACAGGAAGCCAGGCTTCAGGACCTTGTAGGAAGAGACAGCTTAGTGATGGCCCCTTAACAGCCTTTACCCCATTGCAGCCCCATTCTCTGCAAACAGCGACCCAGGCCTGACGCTTACTGCCCCACACCCACAGATGTCTTGCACCCCATTCCTGACCTGCAGCCCAGGACTGACTGCTCACCGCTCCCACTGGGCAGACTGTACCCACCCTCTGGCCCTCAGGGCCCAGTGCAAAGCTGCTTTTTCAGGCCTGCACAGTTGAGAGGCTCTACACAGCCAGGGTGTGGCCACACAGGTCATAGCCTGGGTGGTGGACACTGGAGCTTCACCATGTGGCCCAAGAAAGAACTCTGGGTCCACGGTGAACGTCAGCCCTTCCCAGGCAGCTGCAAAATGATAGGACAGGTGCAGTGTCTGGGGGATGGAGGGGCGCTGGCCGTGAAACTGCAGCCCTGCCTCTGGGGGAGGGGCTCCAGAACAAATACCCCCTCAGCCTAAAAGGAGTGGCTGAGTGGACTGTGACCTGAAGAGGGCATGGCCAGGTTGACTGACCTGTGACCCGAAGACCTGTGATCCAAGGAGGGAGTGGCCAGGTGAGCTGACCTGTGACCTGAGGATGGATGGCTTGCAGGTCTGACTCAGCTGTGATGTCATATGTCTGATCTGCGTACACTCCTCAGTACCCCAGCGGGAGGTGACAGGTGGCCTTCTTGCTGTGTCTGGAGTTATGCCTGAGTCCTCCCTCACTGCCTGTAGCTGGGACAAGGCAGAGGATGAGGAGTTAGGCAAGTCTGGGCAGGTCCCGCTCACCACAGCATGCAAGGGGACACCACACTGAGACGGCAGAAGGAACTGGGGCCTGGCCACGACCCTGCAATGTTCCATGAACCCAGCATGAACCTTGTCCACTTGGACTCCATTGGCTGCCCCCAAAGACTGTTTGGGAGCCTATTGAGCCCTGGGGTTCCACCCATCCTCTCTTCCCGCCCTTGGGGGTCACCACTGTCTCCCCTGCAGAGAGCTGGCTTGTGTCCATGGAGATGCTGTCAGTACAAAGCAGCTGGCTCCGGTCTGAGGCATCTCCCAGGGCGGTCGCTGTTGCAGCTGGTTCTGACATGAGGCTCAAAGGAAAGGCCTGGGACTGGGTGTGACCAGAAGGTTCCACTCAGATGACAGGAGAGGGTATCAGGCACCTTTGTCTCACCTGCTAGGTCCACCTCTCTACTGTGGTTTCCACACTTCTTTGGGGTTACCCCTCATACACCCCCAGTCCACCATCAGGTCCAGGCCTGGGCTTGGGGATGGGCTTGGATGGAAGACTCCTGGCCACAGGGACGAGCATGTGATCTGGATTGAGCTGGTGAATTGGCCTCAGAATGTTCTTGAGCCTCCAGAAAAGTGGTCCGTGAAGTAGAAGCTGGAACCACTTTGGCCACCTCTGTCACTCCAGGGGGGCAGCAAGTAGGCCGAGGGAGAAGTCAGCCAGAGATACGGAAAGTGCAGTCCTGGTTATGGCTTTGAGCACCTGGATCCCACATGACCTGACGCTCTTTCACCTCTGACCTCTTTAGTGAAAAAGGGCCATCAGTTGGCGCATTGCCAGCCATGCATCCCAGGGGCATTCCAGTCTCCGAGGGAGCCCAGAGGGTCAGTGTCCTGGTCTGTCTTC